CCCCCCCCCCCCCCCCCCCCCCGGATTTCCCCTTTTACCCAAGGAAAATGCAGATTTCTTCATTTTAATGGAAAAAACACATGGATTTTGCATTTTTTCAAAAAGCTCTCTGCAGGCTGGCAGAGTTCCAGCTTGCAAGGGGCTGCAAGGGAGCAGGAGGAGGGCAGTCAGGAAGAGGATGCCATGTGCATGGAGAGCAGCTCCTGCAGGTCAGTTGACAGGGAAATGGAGGGGGGATTGAGGTCCCCATAGGGAGGAAGAGAGGGAGGGAGTCAGGCAGGGCTGGGGATGGGGCTGTTGCCCAGTCAGACAGTGCTTGGGGCCCAGGGCCAGAATGTGCAGCTGCAGGGTTTGGGTGAACAGCAGGACAGGGCCATGGGTGGCACATCTGGAGGGTGAAGCTGGCTTCCCACTGCTGCAGGCTGGCTCCTCGCTGCTGCGCACACTCCCTGTGTGTGGGGCAGGGGTAGGTGCAGGCTGTGGGCTCAGGCTCCCATCCTACTGCCCTCCCCTGGGGCCTCTGCAGCCCAGTGGGTGGAACCCGGCACAGCAAAGCAAAGTGGGACAAGGTGGGGAAGCTCCTTGCCGCTGCAAGCCCTGCAGTGTCATGGCAAGACGCCCCCTCCACACGCTGCTGCCCCCACTGCTGTGAGGTGGGCAAGGGCACATCGCCAGGGCAATGTGGGGCTTGCAGTGGCAAGGAGCTTCCTCGCCCAGCCCTGCTTTGCCCTGCCGCACCAGTTTTCACCTGCTGAGCTGCAGATGCCTTGAGGGAGGGCAGCAGGGTGGGGGACCCAAGTCTGCAGTGGGAAGCCTGCACCCACCCCCACCCCACGCAGATCTGGAGGGCATGGTTCCCCTGGCCCCTTCAGGAGTGCGCATAGTAGCAGGGAGCCACCTCCCTGAGCCCAGAGCAGGCAGCCCACCCCATCCCATCCCCATGGGCTTTGCTCCAGCTATGCCACCTGTGGAGGAGGGGGAACTGGGCTTTGCACTCCACTGCGCTGCTGCAGCAGCTGTTGCCTCCCAGGGTGGCAGACAGGGCTCGAGCACTGCTGTGGGTGGCAGAGGACTGTGAACCTGGGTCCCTGGCCCTGTAGCCTTGGCAGCTGGGGCCCCCCCCTCTGGCAGGGCTGGGGGGGCAGGGGTTGTAGGTGGGGGGCAAGGGGCACCAGCAGGGCTAGGGAGGCTGTGGGTGGGGAGTGAGGGGCCTGGACCTCCATTCTGTGAGCTAAGGGGGCAGGGGGAGCTCTGATGTTCCAAGATAAAAAACCCAAAATCAAATACCAAAATGTCTAGGTATTTAGAATTTATTTTAGTATAGTGACTGAGGCACTGGTGGGCTTCCAAATTGCTTTAAAATTGTAAATAAAGGAAATATATAGAAATATATGAATAAAGCATTGTGTTCAATTGAGATTATATATGTATTAGGGCTGTGCAAAGCTTCGGTCACTGATTCGATTCAGTGGACATTTGGCCCGATTTGGCAGCCGAATCTCCAAATCCAAATTGAATCAGGAGACCCTTTAATCTCTCCGAATCAAATCAGAACCCTCTGAATTGATTCAGAGAGATTCAGCGATTCAGACATAGACACAGCCTTAAATGTTTTTTCTATATAATTCAAGGTACGAGATGCTGAGATGGTGGGGTGGATGCAGTGTCCCATGGAATCATGGGGGGGCCTCCAGCGCGCTTAGTGATGAACCCGGAAGTGGACCAGAAGCACTTCTGGTCCACTTCCAGGTCCACCGCAGAGTGTGCGGGGAACCCCCCCCGCCTCAGTGACTGGTGCCTCCTGGGTTTTGGGGGCCACCCGGGGTCCCCCCACAGCCAATCGCTGAACCGAAGGAGTGCAGGGAGGGGGGGCAATCAGGTTGATGAGGCATAACTTGCCCTTGGTGAATCCATGCTGACTATTCCTAATCATCACCTTCTCCTCTAAGTGCTTAGAAATGGATTCCTTGAGAACCTGCTCCTAAATTTTTCCAGTGACTGAGGTGAGGCTGACTTGTCTGTAGTTCCTCTGCTCCTCCTTCATCCCTTTCTTAAAGATGAACACTATACTTGCCCTTTTCCCATCTTCCAAGAATTCTCCTGATTGCCATGAGTTTTCAAAGATAAGGGTCAGCAGCTCTGCAATCACATAGGCCAACTACATCAGCACCCTCAGGTGCATCCTGTCTGGCCCCATGGACTTGTACACATCCAGCTTTTCCAAACAGTCCCTAACCTGTTCTTTCACCATTCTCAGTCGCTCGCCTCCCCACCAAACTGTGCTGCCAGACGTAATAGTCTGGTAGCTGACCATGCCTGTGAAAAATGGAACTCTGCCAGGCTGCAAAGGAAAAACCACCATTTCCTGTGTTTTTCTCCTTCATTTCATGAGAATCCGTTTTTTATGTTTCTTTGTGACCCTTTCATATATTCTTGTGACCCACTTTTGGGTCACAACCCACAGGTGGAGAAACACTGATCTACAGGACTGGCAAGCAATATTCTGGACTGCTGTGTATACTCAGCATGGTTCAAAACCGTAAATATTACTTAAGGTGGGCATCTACAGAGGAGGGCACTGAACCCACATTTTAAGGAAGCTGTATATGGTCAGGCAGAAACCAAAAGCTGCATACCTTATATCCAACTTCTGGTAAGACAGACTTGTCCCAGTGGTCTGGAATGTTCTTCCACTCTCCTGAATGTTGATCCCCACTGTATAAGATATTTAAGAGAGTCTTAATATTTTCTGGAGAGCATTGTACTATAAGGTTTTGCCAAGTTTAGGACACAACAAATAAAAAGGATAAGCCAGTATGTTCCAGGACTTCAGAACTGCATCTTCAGTTCACTTGCTCAATATGTCCCATCAAAATCACCCCAAGTCAAGAGAGAGAAAGTTCCAGGTTTGCAAAGCACTTAAAACGCACCTCACTTTTGACCAACAGGACTACTCACATGCTTATAGGTAGGGATGTAATTAAGCACTTTGCTAAATTGGGATCAGAGTAAATAAAATGACAGTGCCAATTTATGCTACAAACTAATTTTGTCTGACAGAGTTGCTAGAGAAAACTCCTCCTCCCAAGAAATCAGAGATAAGTCCTTGTTACTACTAAACTCACTTTGCTTGTATCTTTATGGAGTATGAGCCCTAATTTCCAAAAGGAAGGTGCTTATGTTTTCCTTCCCCATGATCAGAAACAGTAGGCCATCATTCACCAGTCCAATCCCAACAACCCATGCAGTTTGCTTAGCTTACATAGACAAGACCATAAGATTTTTGCAGAAAAAACTGAGCCAATAAGTATTTTTTCCATGTGAAATCTATATTGCTTAAGGAATACCAGGGTGTTAATTTCCCAGCACCTAATGCCAACAGTTCACTCTTAAAATCCAGACTGAATGTGGAAATGCACAACTGGGACACTTACTATCCATCACAATGGCCTGGATTAGGCATCACTGCAAATACAAGATGCTACATTTCTCTTTTTTGAGGAGATGAAATTGTGTTCAGTAGACCCTTACTTTCTAAACATTGCAGAACTGTCCCCTGTTCATGTATGTAAAATGTTCACATATATAAAAGATACACAGGATATGAGAACTGTATAAATACAGAGCAGCAACAAAAAGAGAAGCACAAAAATAACGACTATACAAAACAGTCCAGAAACATAATTAAAAAACCTCCTGCAAAAAAAGAACCTATGCCCACATCTACACATGAGTATTCACTTTTTGGCACATCTAGTGACCAGGCTGGGAGTTCAGATAATCCAACTGTTCATATGAACAGGTTTCAGGCAGGTGAGGGTAGGGTTGTCTGTGTATTCTTCACAACTTGTCTGGAACACCATGGCTTGTCAAACATCCTTATCTTTACAGTTTAACACTAAGCTTCTAAGCAGTCTATATGCCCATCATTTTTAAGCAAATCATCCCAAATATTTCAATACGTTGCTTTAAAAAGAACTGCTTCCAGTCTGACAGATTTTTCAGCAACATGCTAAAGGCATAAAACAACTGCAAACAGGTTAGGCAAAATGTACTGATTCAGTACAAGGAAAAATTTCTCTTCTGTCACTAGAACATCAGGTCAGGCTGAAGCCATGACTGTTGCTGCAACAACAATAAGCAAGAAAATTTCAGAATGATAATGTTTACGAGGTTTTTAAAAAAAGATAAAAAATCCTTGGTTTGACTAGTTGCTTAATTAGCTTCTAGTAATCTGGGTGAGAGGGAAGCTTCTCATTAAGTCACCAAAATGCAGACTGTTGTTCTGCCCCGAACCAATAACTACAATTGCCCAGTTATCAATTTGACTCCAATATCCAATGAATCATTTTAAGGAAGTCTATTAAAAGGTCTGAACAACACAACTTACAGCTTTTCTAACCTTTTCTGGAGGTTTGATTTAAAAACAAACAAAACCAAACAAACAAAAAACAAACAAAAAATGACACCCTCCCCTCCCAATCAAAATACTCGCTCCACAGCCATCCAGTTTTTAGGCTCAGTATACTAATTTGTTGGGACTGGACACAGGTGCATCGTGTAATTGCAAGAGAAGATGGTCTTGTCTCCAAGGGCTTGTTTTTATGTCACATAGATGCCACGTGCTACAGAAGGATACCCAAACCACCATGGGCTATTAAAGTAACCTCCTTTATCTTTGCACTTTGTGATGGAGGTGCACCGATACATCGGTCCATATCATATCTGCACCAATAAAAGGAAAACTGACATTATCGGCAACTGGCTTTTTTTGTCTGATGTGGCCAAAAAATGCCATGTGGATGGGCGCAGCAGCTGCATGCATGCAGCCAGCTGGCAGCTTGGAGAGAGTATCCAACCAATAAGTTTGTTGTGGGGGGAAAAAGCATGGGGGAGGAGTGGGGGGCATATTGAGGCCCCTGCAGTGAGGGATTGAGCAGGGCAGGGGCAGGGTAAGCACCGTCCAGCCGGGGCAGGGCAGGGTGCAAGACAGAGCCCCAAGCAGCTCATCGGGGAAGGGTGGTTGCAGCTCCTGCTGCTGCACGTACCCCTGGGGGAGGCATGGGGCAGGCGTGTGCCCCCCAGATCTGTGCGCCCTTCCCCCCCTACTCCCCCCAACAGACTTACCAGCTGGACACTGTTCTCCAAGCTGCTGGACTGCATATTGGCAATTGGATAGGTATCAGCCAATATGGCTTGTTAATAATCGGCCATCGGTATCGGCCCAAAAAATCTTTATCAGTGAGCCCCTACTTTGTGAACTCAAACTGAAATTCTCCTTAGAGTCATTTTACTCTACCTCTGCACTATAAAAACACACAGTTCTATCATCAAAACCAGAGGCCACAGACTACTAAAAGCTGTCCAACACTCAGGGAACTGCCACACTGAGTACTGTTTCCGTTTCACATACGCTGCTCTTTTCCCAGGACAATCACAAAAACCTTTATTTTCATTTTAGTTTGTATTCGCAAACAGTGCAAATTCATTTATACTCATGAAGGCATCTGTATCAACCACCTCAGAGCAGAGTAACTATAGGTACCTGATTTTTTTCTTTTCAACCTCTTTTGGAGAGATGAATTTGGGTCTCCTGCAAACCTCTCTCTCCGTCTTGTAGCGAAGGTTTTTCTGGATCATGTCTGAAAACAGTACAGGAAGCAAATTACCTCCTCAGCAGTCACATGGAGGCAAAAGTAGGCCTCCCTGCCAAGATAGCCAAAAGGTACTGAGTTTTGCTCTTATGGTGTGCAGAGAAGACACCGTAGCAGCACAGGGCAGACTACACCAGGGTCTGCCTTGTGGATCAGGCAGAATTCCAATTTCAGTTTGTTCAGTTTATTCTTAAAACTCAGATGGACTTGATGCATAGTATTTTATTTTCCAGGACTATGAAGAGAGTGGATGTGCTATGGGTTTCACCTCTGAAGCATCCCTAACTCATTTTGCTACTGGGGCTCACCTAGAAGGACCGCTGATAACCAGTTATATTGTCCATGTTTAGAATTCTGCCATTCTGTTAAAACTATCCATGGTGTCAATGGTTAGGTACACTTTGTCAGCTTAGAAAACTCTACATAGTCACTAACTGCACCGATAGGTTGCTGAACAGCCAGCACTGAGCCTCACTGAGCTTTAAGACTTACTGGCTAATAAAACTGTAAGCTCCTTTTTGGACAGTAAATTAGCCACATTTTGCATGGTCAGAATATAGTGTGTGTGAAGACTCTCTGGAGTTTAAAAATAAGAAAGAATGAAACTGAAGGAACAACCCTCACTTGTTAATACTTTTTCAGTAAGGCAAATAATTAATTTGTACAGGTGATGCTTACAAGAATGAGGATACTTTCTTGATCAATTGTTTTAAAGAAAAACCTGTTGTGTTCATCCCAAGTTCCCTAACAGTAAAATAACTTTTAAAACAGAATTGAGAGAATATGACCTCTTTTCAAAATAAAAAGAAAGAAAGGAGAAATTTAAATCATATTTATTCCAGGATTTTCCTAATTTACTTTATTTTGGGTTTATTTCTCTGTCTCCACTCCCTGATTGATTGACGGTCTGCTTCTGAGAGACCTAGAAGTAGCACAGCTTTATAATAAAATATAAATCCCTCCCCAGCCCCTCGATGCAAGAGATATTACATCAAAAGTAGTATGGCTGGGACACAGATGTCCAAGCAATTCTGTCCACCCTGTTTTAACAGTGACAGGTCAGAACATGCCTAAAGGTTGTCTTATGCCAGGGCCAAACCAATTCCATGGACTGTCCTCTCTATAGGAAACTTCTTTCTCTGTGCCTGACTTTATGCCAAGCCAGCAGATATAAACCTGCCCTCTGGTGCCGATATAGATCCAGGGTTTGTCAGTCACCCTGTTAATCAGCTGTCCTTCTCTACAATAATACTAGTTATTACTAGTATGAATTGACAAGTGGATACAATATTCCCCACCAAGTTTTAAAGCGTGATAAGGCCCCTCATTCAGAGTGAGAGGTACTATGGAGAAAAATCCACAGGATCTAAGCCTAGGGAATTAGATCAGTGTGAAGTTTATGTTGCATTTAAAAACCCACAACTCAGGAAGTGGGGGGGAATTTAGGATTATATTATCTCTTCAGAGAAAGATGTGAATCTGTGCTCTTGAGAAATTGAGCTCCAGTACAACTTCCAGAAGGAAAATGGGTGTACAGAATCAAGTGTGCTCCCTTTCTGGCTGTTCTGCTAATGTTGGCAGCAGAGATTCAAGACAAATGCTAACCCTGATGGGTCTGAGGAGAGGGGCCAACTGATTAGGCCAGGTGTTTCCACCCTGCTTCTCCATTAGCAGATCTGGGAAAGAGGTCAGAGAGGTGGGAAAGGGAACATTTCTCTTCGAATAGGTGAACACCTCGGAAGTACTCCTTCAAACTCCAATATGGTTAACTCATGACTTCAGTCTTCCCACATAGGCAGAGCTATACCAGAAGAATGTACAGAAAACATTATATTCCAGATACTCTGAGTTAAAAAGCAGCACTTTGGTGGCTTAGGGACAGCTACTGGAAGTTAAAGCAGCCCTTGGATCCTGGACTCTATTTTCAGTTAAGAAGTGGAGACAGGACAAACAAGCTTGACACTGTAAGCCTAGGTTCTTGGTGGGGCAGGGTAGCTATCTTGCTGTAAAAATGACATTTGTGATGTTAGCAAAGAGAAAGCCCTATGAAAGCCCTATGCAAGAGATTAATCAGTGCCAGCCTATTTAATAGCAATTTAGTAAACACCAAAGCAATGTGCCAGAGTCCTCCATAAGTTTCTGAGGGTGGTAATCTCAATGATACCACTTTTACCAAGTTGGCTGGCACTGTAAAATCTAGCACTGGAGGTTTTTAAAATGATCTCTTTTGTCAGAATAGAAGTGCCAGTTTCTCCCTAGTGAGAAACTCTGACTACATGATCTTTAATGCATACCCTTTTCCTTTTACTATTGCATATCTTGCATTTCCTGAAGTAATAAGCTTTCGGACTAGAAACATACTTGAGAGGAAGTATAAAACCCAACGTACCTTTAAAATTGATCTCATATTCGTGCTTCCCAGCTTTGAACTGCAGTGCTGTTGGAGACCCTTTGGCTAGGTAAGCTTTCTCCAGGTCACTGCTACATACAGTAGCAGCAGCATGGTCAACATCCTGCCAGGTCAGAATCAAAGAAGAAAAGATTTTTCTGATCGTTCTAAAAATGAGCAAGTTAAAAAATATTGCTTTGTGGTGGTTGTGGTGCATACAGACCAACATATTAGCAACTGGCCTTTAAGCAAACCAGGCAAACAAAGAAACTACTAGCCATGCAGGGAAACATTTCCCAAAATCTAAAATGGGGCAGATGATAAGGTGGAAATAAAGTGCTGTTGAAACCTGGAACTTTAAAAAACAAATCAAGAAAGGACAAAAGTTAAAATTTCCAGCAGTGAAGACAGGTAGAAGTACTTGTGGTACCTTATTTCATATAGCTCACTGAACAGATATCAGTAATGATTTTCAGTCGTTAATGAGCATTCTTATCTTTAAGTCGATTAACCTAAATTAACCGACTCTATTCTATTACCCCATAACCTCTCTCTGTCTCCTACTACTAATTATCTAAGCCTAGGTGTCAGTCTCAGACTACTAAAGGAAAACAGCAGCAACTCCACATTTATAGTCCATGTAGCTTCCAGTAGGCCCCACAATTCTAAAATAATGGTGAAGGAAGTTATGTTTCATTACCATACTTACTTGTTTTCCATATTCAAGCCACAAGCCATATTCATCCTTCCAGTACCACAGCCAGTCTGTTGTAAGAATGTAATGAGGGGGTTTGGTCACAGATGATTCCGTGGAGAGGCGTCTAACTTTTCTAGAGCCACAGGTCATAGTTTGAAAATTTATGAACTCTGAGACAGAGCCTCTCACATGAGCGCTGCATGAAAACCGCAGAAGTCAAGGGTTAAAAATGTTTTGCACCAGTCAGATGAACATACTTGCAACTTTTGATGCTGAAAACACGTGATGCTGAAAACACGTGAGGCTGTTGGAGTGTTCGAATTAGAACTCAATCTCTTATTCCATTGAGTCATGGTGAATAGGATACGGTGTGAGGAACGATGAGCAAGAGAAAGCCGAGGAACAAAGAGCAACTGACTCAATCGAGTCTGCTCCAATGCATTCTAATTAGAATGTGCTGGAGCAGGTGTTGGGCTCATGTGTAGGTGCCCAAAGAGAGGGATCAGTCAGAACTCAAACTGATCTAAAATACACATAATTTTTTGTTTTGACTAAGTCATTTTCATCAACGTGTTACCATCCATTTCTATTATTTCACACTATTTATGATAGCAGCAGTAGGTGTTGCAACTTTTTGTGCAATAGCTCAGAGGAAAGAATGCTGAGTTAACAGATTAATTCTATAAAGTAGCCCATAGGATCCAACTTGGAATCCAAAGCCAGATCTTGCACTAGTGTAAATCCATGTCAAAATGTCAACAGAACTAGGTTGAATGAAACAATTCAGGCAGTAGCTTCAAGAGAGCTATGTTAACTTATGCTACACAAGTCAAAGCCCTTGGCTATCATATTAGAAGGTCAGGTGCAAACATTAGTAAACTAATAGTTTATACCTGTTATTCTGAGGGTCACAATATGCCTCTTCAATCTTTTCCATATCCTTTAAGTCCTTCCACTCAGCACCGTCACAGATCTGCCATCTATATGGCAAATGAAAATGTTCTCTGATACACTTATCTGAAAAGGTAAAATAAAAGAATTGAATTAGATCCATGGCACAAAGAAACTGATTTTTTGGGTTAACTTATCTTAATCTAGTGCTGTTGAAGATGCTAGATACACAGCCATGGAAAGTGTCCACCCATGGAATACAGACAGCAAAAGTGAAAGCTTCCTCAGACGACTTTAACAAAATTATTCAGCTTTACCTGAGGCCACCTCTTTGGAAGAAATAATTTGTTTCTAGATGCATTAGGTTCTTTGCTTGTGTATCACAGCTGCTACTAATGGCGCAGTTTGAGGGTTTTTTTGTTTTGTTTTGTTTTGTTTTGTTTTTTAAAGTTAGGAGGACAGTTATTTACCATGAATTGAAATAACTATAATAACAACACAATAAACAAAAGTTTCTCCTCACCTCCTTCCCCAGTAAAGATTACACTGAGATCAGTCTGGTGGCCTAGTATTTTCCAGACATAGACAGTGGACACACAAGTTCTAGATATCTAGGCTTCCTCTCAGTCTCCAAGCAGGTGCCACTGAGAAAGCAAAACTCCGTTTTGGGAAAGGAGCACGGGAGTAAGTATGATGGATTCTTGTTGAGAAGCTTCAAAGAGCTGATGGGCTTGAAAGTGTCCAGAAAGATGGGAACGATTTGGTAAGAAGGATGGTGGTTGCAATATGGGAATTTTGTGAGTGAGGCAGACTCATACAAAGAGCTGCCAATATGCTCAGCTCTTCAGCTAAAATGAATGTCCTCCAGAGGCAAGGATGAAAGCAAAAGAAATCTATATATCTATATACCTATGTGTATGTATAGTTCAATATGGTTTTCATTCTAAAGGAAAAGGTACAGGACCCTGACGAGCAGCTAAAGTCAAAGAAGCTACGCTGCACAGATCATAGAAAGAGACACCATCAGATTAAGACTAGGACTTGGAGAAAACACATGGCAACAAAGAAGGGATGGAGATACTCCACACAGATAGCAGGAACAGCTACTGATTGTACTTGAGGTCCATTTAGTCCAGCATCCAGTCTCCAATACTGGCTAACACAACAGGCTTCAGAAGAAGCTTGTCACAAATGCAGATGTGAGGTAATATTTCCCACTCTTTGTTGGGACAGAGGAAGACAGAGGTCACATGCACAAGAGCTCAAAATAAGACTTCACAGGAAATTTGTACAAAACCATCACACTTCAGGGTTTGTTTCAAAATCATGATTACTATGGATATTCTTGTTAGCCACAATCCCTTTCTGAATTATGCTGAATTCTTAGCTTCAAATGACTTCTTCTGGCAACAAGTTACTTTTTCATACAACATGTAAGTAGACTGTGTGTTTCCCGTTAGCAATTTTGCCACCTTTTAGTTTCATTCAGCATTCCTTGGTTCACAAGTTATAAGTAGGGATCTGGGTTTTCTGTTCGCCATAATAAAACATGGGTTTTCTCATTTTAAGGAGAAAATATGCAGGAAACAGTGGGTTTCCCCTTGCAGACTGGCAGAGTTCAACCCAGGCAGTGCATGGGCCTTTGGCACCAGGGCTGGACTGCACAGTTGCAGAGCCCAGGGAGGGAGTGGGATGGGGCTGTGGGCAGCTTGTCCAGGGGGCAGCAGGGGGAGCAGGGGTGGGGGGGGCTGGCTCCCTACTGTTGTGCACACTCCTGGGGGATGACATGGGGGTCACATGCCCCCCAGATCTGTGTGCAGGGCAAGGGTGGGCTGCCTACTGTGGGCTCAGGCTCCCTGCCCTGCTGCCCTCCCCACAGGCCTCCACGACCCAGAAGGTGGGACCCAGCAAAGCGGGGTGGGACAGGGAAGCCCAATGCTGCCGGGAGCCTGATGCTGCCATGGCTAGATGCCCCCTGCCTGGCAGCAGCGAGGGTGGCGGTATGGAGGGCACCTCACCATGGTGGTGTGGGGCTTGCAGTGGCAGCACCCAGCCCCACTCTGCCCT